GGGGGGGGGCGGGGCATGAAATACACATCCTTTGAGCTAGGGAGAAAACTGGCTATGTCTTCTAATGAAAAGCAAGCAGGGTCAGTGTCTCAGTGGCAATCAATGCCTGTGTGCAGAGCCTCTTCATGTTCCTCTGTGCCACACCATACCTTAGCTTCAAAGAAGTTCTTGGCTCCTTTGACTCCCTCAATGGAGACATCTATCTCAGAGAGCTTCGCGAGAGTCAACAGGCCACTGTCCTCCTCAAGTTCCCCAGCTGCTGCTTTATGGAAAATCAGCAGGCACTAGCAAGATAAGAGAGGAAAGACTCAAGTTCTTCACTGAGGCACAAACAATTTAAAATGCAGACAGTGCAGACATTCACCTGGAGGGGGCTGGACCCTGCCTTTCTGAGCAAAGGAAGTCAGGTCTAGATAAATGAAGTGGCACATGCAACTTGTGCTCCAGCATCCTGGCTCTGGCACGCAGCCCTGCTGGACTCAGGGATAGAAACCTCATCAAAAGAAGGAGCAGGGCCCTGGTGAAGTGCAGCTCCTACTGAGCTGGGCTGCTGCACAGCCAGAGGGAGAAGCCCACCTTTCACTTGCCTAGTACAACTGTAGGGCAGGCTCAGATACACCTCTTTATGTCCCCACACCCTAATGGCATATTTACAAGCCCCCCCACCAGCTTCACAGTGCTTTGAGGGCTCAGATCACATCCAGTGACCATGAAAGCAGAGCAAGGACAGCCCTGGCTCACACCTGAACCCCAGTGCCCTGCACCCTACCACATGCCTGTTGGGAGAGAGCAGCAGCACAAGTATGTGCCCTTGGCAGGGATCTGGGGGCTGCCTGCTGAGAAGAACCTGCCTCTCTCCTTCCCAAGCCCTATGGCCCACGTGGTACAGGAGGGGAAAACAAAACCAAGGTCAAACAAATGCACCAGGAGAATAGAACATAGCTCTGTTTTCTAGGGCATGGGAAAAGTGACTTCAATCAACCCATGGAGCTCTGCCTCAGCCTGTCCCAGGCTGGTTAACTATGGGGAGCAGAGCCCATGAACTCTTGTTGTGCCCATTAAATCAGGTACCAGAGACCTGCTCTAAGGCTACCAGGGTCAGGCCAGAGGCAGATATCAGACTGGCTTCCACCAGTGTCCACAGGTCAGCTGGTTTTGAAACCTTTGTCCTGCACTGGACCACAGACATTTGACAAACCCCAAGTCATGACAGCAGAGTGCATATTGACCACAAACTGCAGAAGGAACCACTCAAAGAGACCCACCCCCCCTCCAGGAAAGCACACCTTTTTTTTCTTTTTTTTTTTAATAATCTGGAGAAACAAGATCTACCTGCTTACAAAGACCCCTGCACCACCTTCAACCTGCTAACCCAGCTCCAGGTTAGCATGTGGATGTTCTATGCATAATATGAGGTCCTGTAACTCCCTGCTATTCTTGGCCACCCCAGGAGCTGTCCCGGCGCTTGGCACAGTGTGGAAAGAACAGAGATGGGGACAAGTCACTCGGGTACAAAAGCAGCACAAGCGACAAAGCTGTGTCAGTGCAGAGGAGCAGCACCTCCCCGCAGCGCCCTGCTCCTCAGCCTGCGGAGCGGTCCCGGAGGAGGGCAGCAGAGCCCCGGCTGCCCGCCTGCTTCCCGCTGCTGGGGAGGCAGGAGATTGGGAAGGGCTCCCACGGGGAAGGGTGTGGGGGTGACGGCAGCGGTGTCACCAGGCATCGCTCCACGCACCGCCCCGGAACCCGAGTGCTCAGCACAGAGCAGGGGGCGGGAGGGAATTTTTCCCCCTACAAACACCTCTAAGGAATGGAATGCTGCTCTGCTGAAAGGTGAAACACCCTGCTCGGAAAGAACCCAAATCCTCCCCAAGATGTCCTCTCCCTCTACTCAGATCCACCAGGCTTGGGCTGGTTCCTCTCCTCCTCCAGCAGGCACGGGGACTCACAGGGCTGGCAGCCAGGCTGGCTTTAGTTATGGTTCCTCCTCAGCTTCAGCTCCACCCTGCGAGTCCCACTTCCTGGCATTGGAAAAAGGCAACAGAAGCAGCACAATCCTGGGGTCTGGTACAGCTGTCACCCAGGGAGGGAATGGAAACACCCAGTCATGAGTACAACTGTGAATGAATCATCCTGATACGAGGGGTTGGGCCAGCAATCCTTCCTTCCGTGGAGCACAGGCTGAGCTCAAGGAAACCAGAGACAGAGCCACCGGCAACGTCAGCCCCAGGGAGCCAGCGAGGCAGACCATGGGGCACCACGCTGACTTCTGGAGCAACCCTTCCTCATGTAAGCACACCCCTTGCAGCCCACCCCACGGTTGTTTGCTCCCCAGGCATTGGTTCTCATGTTCAGTCTCCAGATGAGCTTGCATTCCCAGCCCATCTCACTCCTCTACTGGGCCCAGGACACACCTGCAGCTAAGCCTCAGGGACACGTCAGTGGAGAAGCAAAAGTGAATAATGCCAGTGCTTTTAAAAACCCTGCTCTCAAGGACGACGTGACACACACCTTCCACCCCACTAACCTCATAGGAACTTTCACATCCCCTGTGACCCAACACCCACCCCAGCGTCTCAGAGGGGTGAGGGGGCTCCAGCCTGGTGGCCACGTAGCGCAAGGGAAGGCACAGCCCAGCCGGCAACCACAGCCTGGCAGCAGCTTGCCTGAGCAGCAGGCACCCAGGGCTGTGCTTTGCACTAGCCCAGCTGGCAAATACATGAATTGGGGAAGCATGGGAGCTGCTGCAGGCCTGGGGGCAGTGGGTGGCTTTTAGCAGGTTCTAGATAGCAGCTACAATTAGACATTCCTATTATAGCAATTACCTCTGGCTTCCTGTGGCAATGGCTGAACTAGACAATCAGAGCTGTTTTCATCCCCCACATTGTGCCTAATCTTTTTAAACCTAAATTTCTTTGCTTGAGTCACAGAGGGAGTCATGTTCAGTTAATTGTTGATGTATTACTGGATGCTCAAAGGTCAGTGGTACGAGGCAGGTCTGCTCACAGGGCCAGCGGTTCCACAGCAGCAGTCAGAGCTACACAAGCCTGTGACAGCCCCCAGGGGAAGGGAGGACATGACACTGCTCAGAGCAGCAACAAAAGGCGACCTGTTGCAAGTGGAAAGGAACCTCACCAATTCCCTGGCCAGGCCAGGAGAATCAGGTCTTCAGGTAGGTGTGGCAGAACTTGGTAGAGACGCAGGCAGGACCCACCCAGTGCTCAAGTTACACCCTGCTGAATTTGGACACTCCGTTGAACTAGGGTTTCTCTCCGTGTTTGTTGGAGCACCCTGAGTCAGCTTGGTCACTCACCACCTGCTTGCAGGTCACCACCAGCAGGAAGTGGAGTGGGGCAGGGTTAAAGGCTGGTTCAGGCCTCCTCACCCAGCAGGAAACCTGCCTCCCTCCCATCCTGCCTGGACACAGCAGCTGGACACGGCACATCTACAATGAGGCAAGCAGCACCCTACTCCTCTCTGCCCAGGAAGCTCTGGGCACATGCCAAAGCTGCTGTGTAATTTGTCCCCAGAGCTCTGCCAGGACTGCTCCTTTGTTCCCACCCATGTGGCACTTGAGCTGGCAGTTGGTTGGGCATAGTTTTGCATCTGGCAAGAAGCAACAGCAGCCACAGCTGCTGCAAAGGACCGGGGGCACCGGCAGCCCATGCTGGGCTGAGCTCCAAGCAGGTGGCAGCAGAAGAGGAGCTGGTGCAAGGACACCACCAAATCTTCCAGGGCCTGGAGGATAGACACTTCTCCTTCCCAGCCCCTGCAGCAAGCCCAGAAGCTGCTCCCAGCTCTTCAGCCAGGGTGGAGGTGGCCCAGGGGGCAGGCAGGGAGGGCTCTTCCAGCCCCTGCAGTGATTTGGCAGTTGCAGCCTGACCTGGGGCCAAGGCACCATGGTCCTCCTGCTCCACTGGATTCTTTGCTACCCCTAGTTCACCTCTGACCAGGCACATTTCCTTTCCTGCCCACAGGAGCTGCCAGCTTCGGGCTTCTCTGGTGGGCACTGCCAGGCTCTCACTGCCCAGCTCTGCTTGTCTTTCCCCCTCACTATGGCCAGGTCCTGTAACCCAAAGGTCTTAGGCTTCTGCCCTCTTGCAGCAAGAGAAATGCAACATAGCCCCTGGGGGATGAGAGCAGGAGGAGATGGTGCGACGTGCCAGCAGAGAGACCATGCAGCAGCTCCATGAGCTGCCAGTGTCCCGTCACAGCCCTGGCTACTCATCCTCCCTCCCAGGCACTGCCAAGGGTCCTGACACTTCCCAGGTGAAGAACCTGATAACCTGAGCTGTGGAGAGGTCTGCACCTCATCTCCACAACCAAGCCCCCACCCTGCAAGAGGCACAGCCCCTGCAGGAACAGCAGCTGCTGGGGTCCAGGGCAGCTGTCCCCAGGCAGGGGGAGCAGGACAGCAGCACAGCCCTCCCATGGCTGCCGGACACGGGTAGTGCTGGCCCTGCTGCTGCCTGCAGGGCTGCCAGCAGGTCAGAAAGCCACCGTGTGATGTACATCCTGACTGAGACAGCCACCACTGGGTGGGAGGAGGAGATGATGCAAAAGGTGGTTGTGATACTGGGTGAGCCAGGAACCCCGAGTGCCCACAGGTCAGACTCCCTCTCCCCTCTGCCCAGCAGCAGGTTCTGGCTGCCCACGCCAGTCCCAGCACAGGGTGACAGCCAGGTCCATTGGCTGGGTGTCCCTGCAGAGCCAGCAGTGCCCAAATGCTGCTTTGCCATGCTTGCTCCCCGCTGTAGGGAGGTGACAGCCCCTCCTGCAGCTTGCTGGTCACTGCTGGTCCTGCACCCCGTGAGACCAGCTGCTCTGAGCAGAGCCCGTCCCTGCGCCTGAAATGAGGCCTGAGCTGCTGCACTGCAGGAGCCCAGCAACAAGGCCTTGTGACAGAGGGGACATGCCACCCCCAGCTATGGCAGGGAGCTCTGTCTGCACACCCAGGCAGCTGCAGCAGGGTTCAGCTGCATTCCCAAAGCAGACAGAGGTTGGAGAGCTCTGACATCAGGCACCATTACTGCCACGTGCAGAGGGATGCTGACAGTGGTGCAGACCACCAGCTCCCCATGGCATGGGGATGCCCACCTGCACCTCCTCTGTACCCCACTGCTGGAGAAACATGGAGGGGACAGTGGTACCTACAGCCAGAGCACAAGGCCTGGCTGCCTCCTCCATCCGCCCCGCAGCCACATCCCAGAGTCACCCTCACCTCGCGGAAGCTGAGCTTCCCATCAAAGTCCTCATCCACCTCCTTGATCATGTTCTTCAGCCCCAGATGGGTTTGTGGGGCTCCCAGCTTTTCCATCATCAGCTTCAGCTCCATCAAGTCAATGTACCCATCCCGTCCCGAGTCGTACCTGCGGGGTACAAAAGGGAAGGGGTTAGCTCTCCTTATCCTCCATACCCATCTTCCCAGAAGAGGAACTGTGCAGACAGATCAAGTCACAGGGTCGTTCAAAGCTCAGGGGAGAGAGGAAGCTGCACAACAGGGCCAGTGCTGAAATATATTAAGCTTGGGGAAGTAGCAAGCAGCTTTCAGAGCTGTCTCAACAGAGAGAGAAGTGCTCAGGGGAGCTCAGACCAAACCACCCACACAGAAGCAGCACAGAGGAACTCGGCTTATCTCAGTGGGATTTCCATCTCACCCACTTGCCTGTCCAGCACAACAGTTACTTACACACAGCTTACACCACACAGTGAGGCAAAGGCATGCTGGAGCCAGCTGCTGCCAGGCCTCTTGCTCCTTCAAAGGAGAAACAAGGAGCAGAGAACAACCAGAAAGCAGCCATCTGTCTTCATAAGCAACCCCCCCCCCTCCAGCTGTTAAAATCTTTCCTCTCCAAAGTGGTTTTGCACTGCATGGGCACTGTATTCAGGGGAGCCCTTTGCCCTGTGTCCTGGGCAGAGCAGCAGGGGCAGCCCTGGGGGAGCACAGCAATCCCAGCTGGTGCCCAGGGCTGCAGCAGGGCCAGGCTGGCAGAGGGAACTGCTGCCCACGGGTGGGCTCCACCCCCAGCGGGGCACAAAGGTTCTCTGGAAGAGGAGAGAGCACCGTGCAAGGGGCACAGTGCTGCAGGGAGGGGAGGCAGTGACCTGCTGTGCTCAGTCCAGGGACCCTGTGCCCAGTCCTCCCCTGCACCCACACTGGGTGTGACTGAAGCATCTGGTCAGCAACCAACATTTGCCAACTACCAGGAGGTCGCTGGGCTTCAGAGGCCAACAGCTGGTGGGACAGGCACTCTGCTCTCAGACAGCCCCTCAGCAGCCCTCCCTCACCCTGGTTCTGCCATCAGGTCCAGCAGAGCCAGAAGCTGGAGGGGGAGAACAGGGCAGGGTCTTGTGGGCCACGCTCACCCCAACCCACAGCCTGCCCCTGCCCCCTCCCCCTAACCTCGAAAGAGGTAAATTCCATCAGGAATGCAGGAAGGAAACATCAAGCATGGGCACTGAGGCTCTCCCCTTGGCAAAGCCTGCCAAAGCCTCTCATCCACCATCTCCCATTGACTGTCAGCTCTCTTGCAAAGGGATGAGGGCTGCAGCTGTCCCAGACAGAAAACCAGCACAGTTGTGGTCACCCTAGAAGAGAGCCCTTTCCAGCTGAGAAAGCTCAGGTAAAGCTGTGGCAGTGGAAGGCACAAGCAGAACCATTGGCCTGAGCTGCTCACAGGCATGGGCAGTACAGGCAGGGTTGCCGCCCAGAGATCTGCCCCTGCACAGCCACAGGGTGCTTTTCCCCCAAACTAAGGTGGTGGCCTCCTCCTTTCCAGAGTCCCACCACTTCCACAACCATCCTTTTATACTCTCTGTCCCTCTATTTTTCCAAAGGTCCCAGGTCCAAATGACAGGGATGTCACCACCAGGCTGGCATGCAGTCCTGCTACCATTCTGCCTGCACAGCCAGCAAACCAGTGAGCCCATCACAGCTTTCTGGAAACCTAGGAAAGAAACCTCCGTAAGAGCAGAAACCAGGTCACCGACCTGAGGCATCACAGGGAGTAGAGGCGGTGGGTTCATCACAGCAAGGAAGGTGTCGGTTAATTAAGGCACATGTTCACAGCATCACCCAACCCTGCTCCAGACGCGCTTTCAAGCATAACAAGTGCAATATTTAATTGTCAATTTGCTTTTCCTTGAAGTTTGGGAAAAAGGGTGTAGAGCCCTTCCTCTGGAGTTGCAGAGGCAGCACTTTGATCAGATAAAGCAGCAAAGCATGGGGTGGCCTGGAGGCCTTGGGGTTTGGGGGCTTTTGGCCCCAGCAAGCTCATGCTCCTCTGGCTGGGTGTGGAACCAGGGTGACACTGAGGCCCCCACCCCGGGCTGCCCATCCCAGGTCGGGACACTGCCCAGACACTCTCGTGTAAGGAAAGCACAAGCCCAGCTCGTGCCAGCCACGCTCACCTCACCTTTCTGCCACAGACACGACCTGCAGGCAGACCCGGAGCCCGGGGACCAGCGCTGCCCCGAAGGGGTTAAGCGCGCAGCGCGGCTCGGGGCTGTCACCCCGCGGGGCCGCACAAAGCCGGGATTGTCACAGCCCGGGTGGCTGGTGGCAGCGCAGCCCACGTACCAGCCAGACAGCGGGTGTGTCCGTGGGCCAGGGTGCACCCCAAAACCTGCCACCGGGCCCTCGCTGTGGGGAGAGCGGGACGGGGGCGCTGAAGCCCCCGGATTCCCGGTGCCAGCCCCCGGAGCTGGAGCAGCGCCGGGAAAACCGCCGCGCTGCCTCCCCCCGAGCAGCCCAGCACCCCGGGACCGGCGCAACCACCGCAACCAAGATCCAGGCTGTCTGGGGAGCGGCTCCTTCCTCGGCACCTCGTGGGGTGGATGATGCTCCGGGCACATCGCATCCCTGTCAAAAACCCCTCTGCCTGCCCTGCCCGACCCTCCCGCCTGCCCTCGGAAAAGTTCCCCAAGCCCTGCTGTCTGTCCGTCGGGAGCTCCTTGCAGCCCCCAGGGCCCCGGCACCACTCAGGCCCGTTTCAGAGCAGCCCGGTCCAGGTGACAGACACCGGCCAGTGCTCACAGGAGGGCACACGGGCCAATTCAGTCCCCGCACACACCCCAGCGTCCCAGGGAGCCACCTCGTCCCGTGTGGACAAGGAGCAGCACCCAGGAGCCCGCAGCACTCGGGTGCCCTGGCAGCCCTGCCAGCACCCGCTGTCCTGCCGTGACACCGCGGCTTTGCTGCCTCCAGGCCCCGAGCTCCCCGGGCCGGGAGCCAAGCCCGGTGACGTGCGGCGTTACGGGCAGCGGGGCCCTCGTGCCGAGGGGAAAAACCACCCAGTCCCAGGCAGAGGCAGCTCAGCAGCTTCTCAGTGCCATACAGGTCCCCACCTGTGCCGCGGGCAGCGCCCAGGGGCACGGCTGGAGCGACAGGGCCCCTCAGCCTTCCTGGCAGCGGGTGAGCACCGGGAGCCAGCTGCCAAGATCTGCTGCAACAAGGATGCACCCAGATTCCCATGCAGGCTGGATTCCACCCGGGCTGAGCAGCGTGCCCGGCTGCTGGGGAGGGGGGAAGCAGGAGCAGAAACTGGGGGGAAGGAGGGAATGCTTGCTGAACAGCTTTGCTTAAGAGCAAGAAATGTGTTTAGGCACAACTACTGCCCAAGTACAACCACTGTGCTGGTGTTGGGCAGCTTAGCTGGGAGGGTCACACTGCAGAAGAGTGATCAGGAAGGAAAGAGGAAGGAGGTGCTGAGGACTGCATCACCCCTTCCAACCCTGCAGTCACCTCCCAGCCTACAAAACCCCAAGGAAAGCAAAAGCTGAACGAGACATCCCAAATGCTGAAGGATCAAAGAGCAGTTTCTAAACATTCACACTTCTTGAGAAGGACTGGAAAGACAACCTGCCCTCCCTGTACACAGTCACTGTACCTGAGCTTGCTCTACATGGTACAGGCACCTGTGCCTTGACCTGCAGTTCCTGATTGCTGCAACAGCCTAACGCAGCCTTTGGCATAAAGCAGCCACAGTAATGGTGCTGAAGGGGTAATAATCTCCTCTAAAACATTTCAAAATCCTTTCCAAGTAGGTCTTTATTCCCTCTGAGTGTTGAGTTTCACCTTACATGGAGAGGGAGCTGCTGATCTCTTCTCCCTGGTATCCAGTGATAGGATGGTGGGAATGGTTCGAATCTGCCTTATGGGAGAACTAGACTGGACATGAGGAAGCCTGTTCCAGTGTCTGACCACCCACTCAGTAAAGAGATGCTCCTGGAGAGGTGGACAATGCCCCAAGCCTGTCAGTGTCGAAGAGGCACCTGGACAATGCTCTTAACGTGCTTTTAACTTTTGGGTCAGCCCTCAAGTGGTCAGGCACTTGGAGCAGATGATTGTCATAGGTCACTTCCAACTCAAATACTCTATACAGTTGCCAAGAGCTCTGGAAATCATTCCTCCATACTGAGGTGGGGACAGAACAGGCTCCTTGGCTGCATGCAGCTCTGTCCTCCCCAGCCTAGGCAGCAGGAGCTCTCCTGCTCTTGGAGGGACACGAGGTGAGATGAAAGTCTCCTCCATGATGCTGGGCAAGACACTGAGCCACCAAAACCTGCAAGGCCCAGGCTGGGAGGCTAAGAGCCCATGGGGCTGACCTCCCTGAGTGCTGGAACTCCAGAAACAGCCAGGCACAGAGTAGAGACAGCCGGGCACACAAGGAGCACAGCAGTCCTGGAGCAGCCCATCAGCACAGCAGACACATCTCTCAGCACAGGAGCACCTGGCAAGGGGCTTCCAAGTGGCTCCAGGAGGGCAAGGGGACACCACAGCCTCTCCCACCAACCAGGCACGTAGCACTGGCTAAACATGTGGGCAAGACATGAAATTCCCTAACTACAAAAGCAATAGCGAGGCTGGAATTCCTTCACTCCCTCGCACTCTGCAGATAAAGCCAGTGGCTGTTTTCCTCCCCCTGCAGCGGGTGAGACACCAGCAGCAGCTGCCAAGATCTGCTGCAACAAGGATGCACCCAGATTCCCATGCAGGCTGGATTCCACCCGGGCTGAGCAGCGTGCCCGGCTGCTGGGGAGGGGGGAAGCAGGAGCAGAAACTGGGGGGAAGGAGGGAATGCTTGCTGAACAGCTTTGCTTAAGAGCAAGAAATGTGTTTAGGCACAACTACTGCCCAAGTACAACCACTGTGCTGGTGTTGGGCAGCTTAGCTGGGAGGGTCACACTGCAGAAGAGTGATCAGGAAGGAAAGAGGAAGGAGGTGCTGAGGACTGCATCACCCCTTCCAACCCTGCAGTCACCTCCCAGCCTACAAAACCCCAAGGAAAGCAAAAGCTGAACGAGACATCCCAAATGCTGAAGGATCAAAGAGCAGTTTCTAAACATTCACACTTCTTGAGAAGGACTGGAAAGACAACCTGCCCTCCCTGTACACAGTCACTGTACCTGAGCTTGCTCTACATGGTACAGGCACCTGTGCCTTGACCTGCAGTTCCTGATTGCTGCAACAGCCTAACGCAGCCTTTGGCATAAAGCAGCCACAGTAATGGTGCTGAAGGGGTAATAATCTCCTCTAAAACATTTCAAAATCCTTTCCAAGTAGGTCTTTATTCCCTCTGAGTGTTGAGTTTCACCTTACATGGAGAGGGAGCTGCTGATCTCTTCTCCCTGGTATCCAGTGATAGGATGGTGGGAATGGTTCGAATCTGCCTTATGGGAGAACTAGACTGGACATGAGGAAGCCTGTTCCAGTGTCTGACCACCCACTCAGTAAAGAGATGCTCCTGGAGAGGTGGACAATGCCCCAAGCCTGTCAGTGTCGAAGAGGCACCTGGACAATGCTCTTAACGTGCTTTTAACTTTTGGGTCAGCCCTCAAGTGGTCAGGCACTTGGAGCAGATGATTGTCATAGGTCACTTCCAACTCAAATACTCTATACAGTTGCCAAGAGCTCTGGAAATCATTCCTCCATACTGAGGTGGGGACAGAACAGGCTCCTTGGCTGCATGCAGCTCTGTCCTCCCCAGCCTAGGCAGCAGGAGCTCTCCTGCTCTTGGAGGGACACGAGGTGAGATGAAAGTCTCCTCCATGATGCTGGGCAAGACACTGAGCCACCAAAACCTGCAAGGCCCAGGCTGGGAGGCTAAGAGCCCATGGGGCTGACCTCCCTGAGTGCTGGAACTCCAGAAACAGCCAGGCACAGGGTAGAGACAGCCGGGCACACAAGGAGCACAGCAGTCCTGGAGCAGCCCATCAGCACAGCAGACACATCTCTCAGCACAGGAGCACCTGGCAAGGGGCTTCCAAGTGGCTCCAGGAGGGCAAGGGGACACCACAGCCTCTCCCACCAACCAGGCACGTAGCACTGGCTAAACATGTGGGCAAGACATGAAATTCCCTAACTACAAAAGCAATAGCGAGGCTGGAATTCCTTCACTCCCTCGCACTCTGCAGATAAAGCCAGTGGCTGTTTTCCTCCCCCTGACCTCCCTCAGAAAGGTCACTCCTGCCAGGCCCAGCCTGGCTTTTCTGCCATTTCCTTGGACAAGTTGGCACCACAGGGAGCTGCAACACTCCAGAGCTCCTAAGGGTTCACTTGCCAGACTTGGGGATGGGAGGTTATCATGGTTACCACGGTCCTTGCACTTTGTCAGAACAGGGAGCTAATTGGGTCACATTATAATTAGCCTGAGCTGCAGACTTCCCAGTCCCTCTGCCAAAATACACCCACCTTGAGATCCTGCACCCAGCAGCCCCAGCACAATCCCAGCACCCACAGCCCATCACTGGGGAAACAGGGCAGGGGGGGATGCTGCCAAGAGCAGACTTGGGCAAGAGAAGGAAAAGTGAGGCCAGCTGTGACAGCAAGAGCAAGGAGCATCATTTCTGCTTTGGAAGGATGTTCCCAGCACAGCTAGAACCATGTGGCACCTGGATGGAGCACTGGATTTCAGAAAGTCCCACATTCAGACAAGCTCTTTTCTTCCACCCCAGCTCAGGGTGGTCACAGCCACCTCCCATTCCCTGGAATGCCCTGACAGATACTGGAGCAGCCATTACCACCAGCAACTGTCTCTTCTCAGCTAGAGCACCCTGGCCCAGCCCACACAATGCCTGGGGCCACAGATTCAAGTTCAGTCCAAATTACAGATTTTTAAGTCCCACCAAACTGATAAGAAACAATTTTGGATGAGAGGTCTCAGAGTAGAAACCTGGCAACCCATGGCAGGGAGAAGATACATCCCCGTCTGTCAAAGGCTTATTTTTTTACCATCAGTAAGAAAGACTCTGGGTTGTGGTGGCCAGAGCAATAAGCCATACAGAGAATAAAATCCTTAATCACATTAACTCAAGCTCCGACCAG